AAAGATCTGTCCTCTCCTCCGTCCCTGGATCCGCCTTTGGGCTTAGAAAATGCCCAAAATTAGTTTTTTAGTAATTCGATTTTTCAAAAAAACATTTTCTGAGCAATTTTGGAAATACTTATGTTAATTTTGAAAATACTTATGTTTACTATTTAAAGTTGAGCACTCTTTTTGTGTTTCAAATGGAGCCGGTAATTTGCTGACTCTTTTTTTAGGTAGCGCACGTGTAGCATTTTTCACGCGATCAGCATATTGTCGTGCAGTTGAATCAGGCTTCCTTGAGATTCGTACTTCAAAATTCACGAAGCGACTGCAAATTGATCCGTTTTTGGAGGATTCGAATTGTTCTCGGTGTGAGAGTATACAGGGACCATATTTTTGTCGTGAAAGAAGCTGTCTTAATTATTTTTGTGTTTATTGCTGGGAGGTAAGCACTGTAGAGGTCATTTTTGCCCTAAATTTTCTTTATTTTTAAAAATTTGAAAGCTTAGATTCGCACTGGTGATCAGAATGACAAATCTATTGATGATTGTTGGAATTTCGTGCAAAAAATCGGCATGTACTGAAAAACTGAAATAATTTAAAATACACTTTTCAAGTATAAAGTCTGGCAGTGTAGCCAGAAGCACGTTGCACCCGAATGTGAAGAGGAGTGGTCCGCTTCCTCTCCTATCCAAAGTGAACATCATTTTGCAAAAGGGTTTCGTCTTCGACTTCGTTTTTGGAAATGAATTTCTTCTTTCCCCAAAACGGTACTGAGAAGAGGTGGAAAAAGAGTGATCTTGAATATTGCTTTTAAGGCAGGGAAGCCGAGAAAGCTAAACGGAGTCAGTTTTCGTGCATCAGCTCGAAGCAGCCAGTCATTTTTATTCAACTGAGTTCCGATGCTGACCAGCATTTGCATTTTCTTGCGCCGCTTTTCTTGCTTCGGAGCAAAACCATTCGGTTGATCTCTGAAGAGTTGGCTGACCTGCTCATTACAGGCCTCGGACATGCCTAAAAGTTCATGCAGCACTAGCCGATGAATCTGCGAAGCATAATCTGTCCCGGCAGAATGTAAGGGGAAAGGGCGATGGATCTTTCGCCCTTAGGTGGATCCAGGGCGGTCTCCTGGGGAAAGG